AATGTATAATAATAGTGTGCGGGGGACATTAGAGTGTTAGCTACTTTAGTGCAGAGAATGCCAGGGGGTTTGGGGGGCCAGTGAGATCCGATTCTCTATAGCAATATGTCTGTGAAGGTTCTCATTCATCCAGGTCACATGGTATATCTGTAAAAAATAAGTCAAGGCAACTGGACTTTCTGTATTTTTCTTGAAGACGTTTCACTGGTCATCCAACCAGCTTTCTCAATTCAGAAATTTCTAAATTGAGAAAGCTGGTTGGATGACTAGTGAAACGTCTTCAAGTAAAATACAGCAAGTCCAGTTGCCTTGACTTATTTTTTTTACAGATATTCTCTATAGCAAGCTTCCTACATTGTTACAACATTCCTACAAGCTTCCTGCCCCTCGATTGCGCTTCTGTGTTTGGCTCCGCCCCCTGTTGCGAGGGGTGAGGCCTGTCGGTGGTCACGTGATTGGGCTGCTCAGTCTAAAATGCCAGGGCCTATTTTTAGTCCCAGCCCGGCCCTGGTTTGAAGCAATTAAAAGCGTGTGCTGGTGATCGTCTGAGCTCTACGTGTAGTGTTTGGAAGACATCCCTGCAGGCAAAACTTGTATTAGTCCTTGCAGTGGGACCATACCCGCACTGCAAGGGTTAACTGCTCCCTTTTGTCTAGGGAACAAAATAAAAAAAGTTATTCTCACCCGATCCTTAGAATCCGCTTGATTATAGACCGGTCCTTCCAGCCTCACTCCCCCTCCACTGCAGTGGTCTGATGTCCCAGAGTCATCACATTCTATACACAGTGTATAGGACATGAGAACTTTGAGGGACAAACCATTGCTGCAGGGAGGAGACAGGCTGGAGGGAGCGCTGTGACAACTGGCTGGATCCGAGGATTGGGTTAGTATACCTTTTTTAATTTAGTCCCCAGACTAAAACGAGCAGTTAACCCGCGCAGTGCAGGGGTAGCCCCACTGAAAGGGTTAATAGAATGATTTCCCAGAGTTCTTTGCAGCACAAATCTTGCCACCTTCACTTCCGTAACATTTCCATAATTTGTCCCTTCCTAGCCAATGAAAACACAAAGCCCTCAATCCACTGCCTTATTATCTCACACCTCCACTACTGCAACTCCCTCCATGTTGGCCTCCATACAGACTAAGTCACACCGCTGACCTCTGCACTGTACCCAGCCAATCATTCCTCTGGCATCCAAATCGCTCAACGTATACAATTCAACACACAAAGTCATCTACAACTCTGCCCCTGGCTACATCACCAACCTCGTCTCCAAATATCACCCTCCTCTAGTTCCCGCATCACCTCCTCCCATGCTTGCCGCCAGGACCTCTCCAGAGCCTTTCCCATCCACTGGAACTCCCTACCCCAACCTGTCCCGCAATCTCCTACTCTGTTCCTGAAAACTCATCTATCCCACCTCCACCAACAACTGCACTATTACCTTCTCCATCAACTCATCCCAACTTGGATACCACCGATTGTATTGTACCTCTAGTTATTATTTTATCTTATACTGCCCACCCCCCTACCTTCTCCTCACACATAATACAGAACAATTCACCTCATACACTCAATGTATAATAATAATCATAATAATAGTACCATTTACCTCATACACTCAATGTATAATAATAATCATAATAATAGTACCATTTACCTCATACACTCAATGTATAATAATAATCATAATAATAGTACCATTTACCTCATACACTCAATGTATAATAATAATCATAATAATAGTACCATTTACCTCATACACTCAATGTATAATAATAATCATAATAATAGTACCATTTACCTCATACACTCAATGTATAATAATAATCATAATAATAGTACCATTTACCTCATACACTCAATGTATAATAATAATCATAATAATAGTACCATTTACCTCATACACTCAATGTATAATAATAATCATAATAATAGTACCATTTACCTCATACACTCAATGTATAATAATAATCATAATAATAGTACCATTTACCTCATACACTCAATGTATAATAATAATAATAATAATAATAATAATAATAATATTATAGTACCATTCACCTCATACACTCAATGTATAATAACAATAATATTATAGTACCATTCACCTCACACACTCAATGTATAATAGAACAACAATAATAGTACAGTTCTCCTCATACACTATATAATAGAATAATAATAGTATTACATTGCTCCTCATACACTAAATAGAATAGTAAAATTATAATGATTATTAATAATAATAGTACAGTTCTAACACTTTGTATGATAATAGAACAATATAAACACTATATAAATAACATATAACTATATATCTCCCCTCTCACCTTCAGACCCCTTCAGGAACATGTTATGCACCTCCTCCTCATGCTCCTCCTCCAGTCCCAGCTTGGGGTGATGGTGGTCATCATTGTGGCTGGAGGTGACGGAGGAGGCGGCGGACGGCCGGGGAGCGGTGTGCACGGACCGTGTCAGGCCAGCGGTTGTCCTCAGCAAAAGCGGCCGGGCTGCCCGGGAGAGGCGCAGCGCCCTCGCACACAAGGACATCGCCATATTTTCTGCTGCCTGAGCAGAGCAACGCGAGACACGGGACCAGGTCACCTGCTCGCCGCCTCCTGTCCAATCAGAGCGCCGCAAGCTGACAGCGCTGTAATCACACTGGCTGAGCGGGAAGTCCTTCCGACGGCTCCACCGTGAAAATCCTACGTCGTTCAGCCGTGAGCGCCATCTTGTTTGTGGGCAATGATCGCTTTAAACCAAGTTAAACTGAATGGTAGGAGGGAGGAGTTCCTGTGTTGCTCCTGTTATCCAGTCACAGCACACCTGTCATGTCTGACAGCAAATTTAAATCCCAACTTTGATGCCTACTCACAACTTTTTTCTAAAAGTAAATTTCCATTCACAAGCATACAATGTTTCAGTGCTAAAAATAACTCTGTTGTCTTTAACAACCATAGTATCGATTTGATTATCCAACCAGCAGCAGAACTACGAGAGGAAGATTGTGGAATGACTGACAGTTCTACTTACCGACACTTTAGTGACACTTTTAGTCCAAGGGTAACATGACAAAACCCCTTAAGGTGTTTTCCTAGCGCTGTGCAAACTGCAAGCGCAATATAAATCGTGTATAATAATAAAACTAGATACAAAATGTAATGCTGTATGAACAAGTGAAAATCAAACATCAACATAAATGCAAAGATTACCATCCATGGCATGGTTCTCACACAGCCATATCTTTACAATACACCCTCACTTCTAGATCCAAACACTAAGGTGTCTATGAAAAGCTCTATGAACGTTTGTTCTGTGCAAAGAGAGGCAAAAACAAATGTTCTTAGATTATATTCAACCTGAAAAGAAAATCTACTAACACTGCATTACCTTAGATTGTAAGCTCCTTGAGGGTAGGGACTTGTGTGAATGTGCACTGTGTAAAAGCACTACGTAAATTGTAAGCGCTATATAAATACCAATAACACAGAAATTACGGACACTAGATAGAACTGAGGCGCATAGGGAATAGGTATTTATATAAAGCATAGCAAGAACGTTCATTTTTGCCTTTATTCGCACAGAACGATCATTCACAGAGATTCGCAGGGTAAATGGTACAGTGAATTGTTTATAAATACTCACTTTTTAGTTTGGTAAAGTACTGCATTTCATAAACAAACACCTGTTATTTTTTCATAAATCACTGTTTTCTCCTTTGTTGATCATTACTTGCATCAGTGCTGCTGATCTCCTCTGGTCTCTTTAGGTCACGTCCAGTCTGCATGCAGTCGCTCCAGCACTGGCTACATGTCAATACTTTGGACTTTGCATTCTGATGGTGTCAAAAGTCGGCCCAACGTGTGGCACAGCTACTTGTGGTCTTTATTAGGGAAGCATGCGACAGGGTGACAACAAAGAAGCACAAGTGGGGAAGAGTTGTCACTCTATAACAGAAAGTGCCTGAGCAAAGAACCTTCATGGCAGGATCAACATGTATTCTTTTAACGAAAGCTGCAGATTAAAAAACGTCTGAAAACACTTTACAATGTTAAAACTTATATGAGATTTTAGTTATTTCCTGCATGTATTTAGCACAAACAATTTACCAAGCTTTTCCCAAGGTGCCATGAATGACATCTACCTGTGTCCCATAGCTCACACTGCAGTGTCAATAGCACAGTCATACCAACACACACCTCAAGAACAATTTATTTCAGATGGCAATTAGTATGCCAGCATGTGTTTTGGTTATAGAATGAAACCAGAGGACAAAAGGCAGGGGAAAAAAAGAAATCAAACTCCATGCAGACACTGTCCGTTCCAGGGATGGAAGATTGGGGATGCAGAACAAGGTAGGCGCACTAACCACTTAGCAGCTAAGCTGCCAGTAATCTTGTGTTCTGGGAACACCAGCTGCAGAGCTATGTCAATACTTAGGCAGTGTGTTTTCAACTACAATTCACAGAAGGCTCCTCACTGTCTTTTTGTGGACAGAGGGAATTTTCAGAGCACAAGGGTAAGTTCCCAAAAGCAGCAGTAACACCAAGCAGGACATGATGGATCTTTTTGTATCAGTGAATTCCATGAAACCAGAAAAATGCTTAAGGACTTCAAGTATATAAGATGCCGTTCACACAGCACTAGCAGCCCCAGATGGCACCAACGAGGACATTCCTTTACTTATCAGTGCCGTTCTAGGGGGGCTACTAGTGCCATGCCAATGGTATTAGAGAAAAACTCCAGGCAAATAAAATCTTAACCCTTGCAGTGGGGCTACCCCAGCACTGCAAGGATATACTCGCCCTAAACCACAATCCCGGCTTGCTCCTAGACCGGTCCCTTCAGCCTCTCTCTCCCTCTGCACTAATTACCTTTTTTTTCTGAAGCTGCTCTTACATTTTGTGACTAACCCTTTAAAATAAGTCGGAATCTAGTTTCTATGAACAACAGTAACTTTCTCTTATCAATATACACTCGTGTGTCCTCGTGTTTAATAAAAAGACAATTTATTTCACACACAACATCATGAACATTCAAGCAAAGAGAACTGTACAAGGTAGATAAACACAAAACGTCACTCCAGCAGATGTTCTCATTCCACCGGTTTAGCTCGGGATGCCTCTGCGTTGGCTCGAAGCACGGCTCCTGGACTGGGATATGGCCGTTGTTGGAACAGGGGTCCTGCGGCTGTCGTGTCTGCTCCAGTTTTTGCCTCATTTCTTTTAGGTAGTCCTGTGGACCAGGTGCCCCTACAGAGCAGATTATAGAGTTATGCAAGCTCACAACATCACGCATCACATATGAGAGGCATTAACGTGGCCCAGGTGTCAGATAAATTTTTTTACATTCAATGCATGCAGGCTTGGTAATGTGTAAATGCAACACTTGCAGGAATGTGTTACTTCTCAAAGAGCAAAACAAATGGCAAAGGCACTCATCAATTTGTCACTAGCTTTACAGCAAGGTGCACATGGAAGGGCCTAATACAGTACAAACAGCAAAAAGTTTCCCAGCACACTCACCAGCCAGCATGCAAAAAAACTTGTCTCACCGCTAAGGTTAAAAACAGAGGTTTAGATACACGTCTTCTGCAGAAAATGTGAACGCCGCACAGCCGCGCCAAGGCACCTCTATATAGTGCGGTCCTAACTCTAAACTATGAGAGTTTCCATCTTGGAGCACATGGGGCAAAAGATCAAATTGGGTGCAGGTTTGTCAGGAGGAAGCCCAACCTCCCTTAAAAGGCACGGGGATGCACAAGGGACCCCGCACATCACAACGGCAACTAAGACCCCCCATGCGTCACTGCACCAAATCAGTCAAGCAAAACAAATGGCAAACACACTCATCAATTTGTCACCAGCTTTATAGCAAGGTGCACATGGAAGGGCTACATGTTCTCCAAGATGGAGACTCTCATAGTTTAGAGTTAGGACCGCACTATATAGGAGGTGCCTTGGCAAGGCGGCTTTCACATATTCTGCAGAAGACGTGTATCTAAACCTCTGTTTTTTACCTTAGTGGTGAGAAGTGTTTTTGCATGCTGGCTGGTGAGTCTGCTGGGAAACCTTTTGCTGTTTTACCTCTCAAAGAGATCACAGAACTCCCCCTGACAATGTCTTCATCTCTCTGGAGTTGGGTTTTAAAGTGGTCTTTGTCTGCATATATGCTTCTGCACAAATATATTGTTTATTGTAAATCTTACCAATGTGTGCATGCTCCAAGCTCACTCCCGTGATGGACTACAATCTCAATACAAATTAGTAAACTAAACATGAGATTGTTGTCCATCACAGGAGCGAGCTTGGAGCGGTGGCTACTTTACAACACACACAGGGACCATGAGGAACAAAAGTAGCCACCCTCCAGAAGGAAGGACAGTGTCAGCACCAATTTAGAGATGATTTGAGGATCTACAGCCGAGTGATACACAAATAAGATACATTTTTGGTAATAGTTAAGGTGCTATTCGATTTAACTCCTGTGTCTAGTGTCACTTTAAAGCAAAGCAACAGGTTAGTTCTAATTCCTCCATCCCTAGAAGTACATACATTTCCTCCCATCCTCTGCTGCTGCGTTAAGTGACAGGAGCTAAAGGAATTACCCAGTATGGGGTGGAGGAGCACGTCACCCACTCAATGTGACAGCGCTAGGCCCCGTGAATGTTACAACCCCATTGATTTATACCTTACACTGGGCTTTCCATCGCTAATGGCAGCTGAACAGAGCAGCAGGGGAATTAAGTGAAGATGAGTATATGGCATTGAACTTCTTTCTTTAATCTTTTTTTGACGGTTGTAATAAAATAAAAAAAGAGTAAGTCATCATAACGATGAGTAATTACCTAGGAGCATCAGAGTAAGCACTAGGGTCCATGGGGTCAATTTCCTCCTCTTTTCTCCCTGGGAAAAGCAAACAAATCAGTTAATCTCAAAGAAGCAGATAATATAAAGTATCTGAACCAATAAATATTTCCCAACAGCTTCACCTTTTTTAGACTTAGGATAGGGAGCTACTTCATCCCTCCGGATGTGTCTTCTCTCTTTTATATCTTCCCTCTCAAAACGCTCCACTCGGTCAGACCTCTCTGACCTTTCCTCAGGTTCTGGAGAAAGAAAGGCAGACAGATAAACATACTGATGTAAAAGAGACATAATCCGATAGAAAGGAATCATTTCTGCCTTTTGCATAGACCTAGCATAAGTACCACAATTTGAGCTGACATCAGCCTCCTGTAATGCTCTAGGTAGCAACATGGGCTGAAGAGTAATGTTTGCCTGTAAACAACAGCATTAAATATACAGGGTACACATGCCTTTATAGATACATCAAAGAAAAACACTAAAAAGATAAACACAAATAAGTAAAGGATTTTTTTTAACTTCGCTTAATGTTTAGGACAAGAGAATACCAATATAAAACATGTTTAGAAACTGTACTGAAAAGGAGGAGGAAAATGGAGTATGATAAAAGGAGAAAATGAATCTTGGTTTTGCAGTGCTTGGTCTGCATCGTCAGCACAATTTGTTTACACATCCACCACAGTTAGAAAAAGTGTCATACAGACAGCATTACCTTTCTGTTTGGCTGTGCTTTTGCTGATAACAGCATTGGGATCATGCGGAGACAACCATGACACCACATCCATCTCCAGGTTCCAGTAATAAGGGAGGCCGCTGCATCAAGGACAGAGGGGAAAGACAATTACAAATCGGAATGCAAACTTTGTTTTATTCATCTATAAATCACGCCAGCTAGAGTAGGTCATGGGAAATGCCATCAACTGTCCTCATGTCAAGGAATTTATAGTATGATGTTCAAAAAGATGCCTCTTAAAGTAAACTTGACATGTTATAAAACCTGCTTAACTAGTACAACCCCATAACAGTAGACATTGCAAGCTGTCTGTGCTAGCCTTTAGTTATCAAATATTTTTTTGTGCACCTATGGAGCCTTTACAATTCAGGAGCACACTGCCTGCCACTCTGGGAATTAGCGTTAGTGCTGGTGCCTCAATGCCTGACAGACAAAATACACAATAAAACTGCTTCTTGTTTATGATTACCTGCACTCCAGCTCATTCTCTAAAGGGGGGCCGAGAAACTTAAAGTGACACTGAAGGCAGAATTCCCCCCAATGCTGGTTTAAGGACTTACCTTGTGATGCCTCTTGATCATCCGAACAGCTTCTTCCCTCCACTCGTTTTCCACAGTCCCTCCAGCGCTGGTGCCGGTCTCTGATCCAGAGCAGAATACTCGTGTCCCACGGAGTCTGTCCGGCGTGTTCCCCCCTGCTGCGTCCATTCAGTGTCATTGTTGCTCTGCTCCTCTCTGCTGATCTGGACTGCACATACGCCCGCCCTCACTTCTTCCTTCACATCGTTCGAGAGTCGGGACTTCTTCAGCCGGAAGTGAGCGGGGCTGACACAGGTAAGTTTGTTGGTATTTGCCAACTTTTTTCTTTCTTAAATGTTGGGGCATATGTCTACTGCTTACTAGCAGAAGATATACGTCATAAAATAAGAGACTTTAATGCTAGTTTAAAGAACATTTTGTTAATAGCTGTAGTTCCTTTTTCAAAGGAACTGCAACTGTTGACCTGTTTTTGAAGGTGCAATCTTCAGTACTGTCATCCCTACCGTGCTTCACTATCTACTATGTTAATAAATGAAAACAAGTATGCAGAGGTGAAGCATCTAGTCTGTTCCAAGTCGATGAAATTCCGTTACCCAATAATAAGCAGCAGCTGGGACTCACCAGAGCGGGTCAAACACTTTGTACCAGTTTGGAGGAAGATTCTCCATACGGGTCGCTTCATAATCAACATTGTCGTCATCGTAATCCTCTGCTATAACCTCTTCTGCTGGATCTAAGAAAATTCAGCACAGAGAATAGTTCAGCGAGAAGAGTCTACACAGTATCAGGAGTAGACATTAAAAATGATACAAGTAGACATCTGTTTACCTGTGTCCACATTCTTCAGAATTCCTCTCTTGGATAATCGAGCCTGAAGAGCCAATGGAAGGGGCATTCTGGACCACTAGCCTGCTGGAGAAAGAATTAATCACTGTGGCATTAATGTTCTGAGACTGGTAAGCAAGGCTCAGGGTTAACTGAAGCCTTACATTGCTTTTAGGGAGACATAACTCGGGTCCTGTTCTCTTCCAGGGACTTTCAAATGAGAACACCATTTTGCATCGGCATGTTTCAGCTGACAAACAGATATTGGGATGAAAGACAAAATTATGCTCTCACAATAAAAGTCATAGAGTCTGCTGCAGGAAAAGTCCTTTGATTGCACATATATTATCTTTAGGGATGAGCTCAAGTTTGGACTGGACCCGGTCACAACCTGAGCATTTCCAAACACAGAAGTGGCATGGGCCACCCGCCCAATCAGCTGCAGGCTAGGAAATTCCCTGCCCCGCAGCTGCACATGAACAAAGGGATGATGCTTGTTATGATGTCATTGACCTTATATGACCACGTGGCCATATTAGGTCAATGCCATTGACCAAATATAGCCTTGTGGCCATATAAGGTCAATTATGTCAGTGCATCCCGCCCCTTTGCTTACATGCAGTTGCGAGCTCCTTCTGTGTTCAGAGGAGCTTCGGTTCAGATGAAACCTGAGCTTATCCCTAATTATTATCATAACCTTATCAAAGTAGATTTAAGCCCTAAATTTAGCTTGCTAAAGAACTGTGTATCATAAACAACTGACATTTGTTCTATTAAAATATACTGTTTTCGCCCTTTTTTTTAATCTTCATTCATGTCTCAGTGCTTTTGATCTTATCGGATCACTTTCAGCAATTTGGCTCTAGTAGCAGGTACATGTCATTGCTCTGGACTGGCTTCCTGATGGAGAAAACAGCAGGCCATGTCTGTGCAATAAGCATAGCCGAATATAATCTTCACTGGAATCACATGTGACAGTTGGGAGACAGGGACTATTACATTGCAGAGAGATGCTTCTTTTGTCTAGGCTTCTTTTGTCTATGCTTCTTTTGTTTTAGCTTCTTTTGTCTAGGAATCTTATTAAAGCTGTTTCACTTACCTGATCCTCGGTCCCACCTGCTCCCTCCAGGCTGCAAGACAGGTCCCGACAGCCTCTTCTCCCCTTCTCACCGGTGGTCTAGGGACCACTGATGTCATCACATCTTATGCAGGTTCATTAACCTGCATTAGACGTGAGGTACCTGAAGGACATTACAACATCTGGAGCGAAGTGGGAGAAGTTCTGCAGTTGCTTTAAAACAACTTTAAGCACCCCCCTTAAGAACACTTAACCCCTGCAGTGCAGGGGGTAGCCCTACTCAAGGGTATGTTTTTTCTTTGCCCAAAGATGAGCTTTAGCCTATCAGAGTGTACATAGAAACAGTGGCGTAACAACCGGGGGGGCAGCAGGGGCGCGGGCCCCGGGCGAAAAGTGAAAACAATTGTAGCAAACACTGACAATTTTTAAAACCTAAATCTGGCTTTTTGTGTCATTTTGGGTTGAGTGGGGGGGAAGAGTTCAAACTTCTGACAGGTTTTTGTTCCTGTCTGTAAACTCCTATTGGGAGATTTTCACTCACTTCCTGCCTTTGTGACAATCATACAAGAAACGAGGGGATGTGGTTTTCACTGTGATAGGAAGGCACAGACATCAATAAAGCCATTTTAAAAGGGTTGAGCCCTTTCCTCTCTATTAAAGCGTGCTTAGATTCGTTTTTTCCCCCATTAATATTCCTGTTGGGGAGATGTCTTAACAGCGTTATACTAGCTCTCCCACTCTAATCAATACAAATGATTATTTTCATATATTTACCATCATTTTCCTTTCATGGCTCCACCTCATGTCAGTGTAAGACAGGGGATGGGGATGAAGCTGACCCATTGTATGCTTCATTGAGCTGGAGCCAGGAAATAGCTGTTTGAGGGGAGAGACAGGAAAGATCGTGTTTGGGCGTGGAGTGGAGGTCATCTATTAGACCAAGGAATGTTAATAACAAGATAGAAGGAATCATTGGGGTACCTATACTAACTGCAATATGAAATGATTCAGCTGCATGCACTCTATTTTGAGTTGCTGACCATAAGAAAAATATCCCCCTAGCCCTGGACAACCACAAGAAGCAGCATATGACCCCCTGCACTGACCTCCCACTGTGTGTACCCGGCTGGCTGGCCGACCATGAACAACTCACCAGCTCCCACTGTGCGTTTTGCAGGCGCTGTAAAGTGGAGTCGCTGCTTGATGACATCACTAACCAACACAGCGCTGCGTTCCATGCCTCGCGCCCCCCTACCCCTCCTCTTGTACGATTGGCCGCTTGCTCGCCAACGAGAGTGTACCTTTCACGCCATGTGACCCACCCTTCTTAAAGGGCAATGTCAGTAGCTGCACTCCAGCCCCGACAGAATGGAGGAATATGTGCGGGAACCATGGTAACCCGGGCATGACGGGAGATAGCCCTGGGTGTGAGAGGGGATGGGGGTGCTGGGAGATTGATTAGGCTAGCAAGCAGAACACTGAAAGGTTGGAGGTCAACATGCCTCACAGCATGCTGGGAAATTGGCTAAACAAGCAGAGGACTCTGGGAAGTGGGTCTCAGGGAAAGCTGTTGGGCCAATAAGATGGATTCTATAGCCCAGGGGCAAGGAATGCTGGGAGATGTTGTAATTCTATCCAATCATAGTGGTTGTGTCTTCTCCAGGAAATGTACCTAGTGTACAGGGAGGCCACCTGGACAGAAACATGGGAGCTGCCATTGCTGTCATCTTTATCCTTGCTTTACTTCTTACAGGGTTATTCACAAAAGGGTGAAGAGTTTAAGAGTTTGAAGAAGGCAGGAGAAGTGAACAATCTACGCCAGAATACAGGGATCTTCCCAACCTGAAAGAAGCAATTTCAGGGAGGTATCCCTCTCATTTCAGGGAGGTGCCCTCTCCCCCACCATCTGCGGGGTTAAGGGGGGCTGGGAGAGAGAACCCCCCTGAAATGATGGCAGATAGCACAGGAAGCAATAGCTTCTTTGCTATCTGCAGTTTTGTTTGTTTTTTTTTAGTATTCTGCCAGTTGCAGTTGTCAGAATAAAAAAAAAAGGCATAAGAATGCATAGCTAGATTCCTATTGGCTATTTCACTTTGCAATAGTAAACTAGCTATTGCACCCACCCACTGCTGCTTTCAATCACCAGAAGAGGACCTGATAGAAAAATGTAGGTCCCCCTCTGCTGATTGACACCAGCAGTGGGCGGGTGCATTACCTAGTTTGCTATTGGCTATTGCAAAGTGCAATAGCCAATAGGAATCTAGCTTTGCATTCGTATGCCTTTTTCTTTTCTGACTGATAGTCAGGCCGCGGCTCCCGGTGTCAGAAAAGGAAAAAGAAAAACACGATCGCAGGGAAAGGTTTACTCTGCTCGATCGAGCAGATTAAACCTTTCCGGGAGGAAGTGTTCCTCTCCCGGCCGGGAGCCGCTATCTAATAGCGGGAGACTCCTGGAGCGTCCGGGAGAGTTGGGATGTCTGAGAATAGCTGTTTTGAAAAAATTCTCCAATTCAGCTCACATTCCAAATCAGCTATTTTAGCCTAGATTGTTCACTTCTCCAAACTCTTCACCCTTTTGTGAATAACCCTGTTAGTGAGTTGTTGAAGTCTACGAGCATGCGGCCAGTGACGTCAGGATTCTTATTCGCCAGGGGTGGTGGTCCTCGATCCTTCCCCTTTAAAAGCAAGTCAGCAAGAGCCAGTTATGGTGCATGCTTTGCACTGTAATGTAATTAATGTCTTGTCTGTCCAGGGCCAGCACCGCCAATGTGTGGCAGACAATGGCCATCCTGACTGTTTAACGTGCACCTGCCATGACAGTATTACATTGGCGGTTTCTGCTGACCTCTCCTCTCTGGCTCTCTCAGCCATTTTTTGATTCATGAAAAAATATTTGAACCCCTTCCCCATGCTAAACAGCATGGATGATGGAATCCCCCTGCAGGGCTATTGTATTCTAACAGTGGTGTGTGTGCCGAACACACGAACGATGACTGCAGCTGATTGACTGCAGTCATTAGTCGTCTGAGAATTTTCCGACCAGCTCCTTACACAAAAGTCAATTAAAAAGTTGACTTTTATTTAGAGCTGCAATAATTATTTGATTAAGTCGATTAAAATCGACGATGGAAAACGTTGTCAACGTTTTCCATCGTTGATTCGTCGGCTAAAATTCAAATTTCCCCCCCGCCGCTTACGCCACGCCCACGTCGGTTAAGCCGCTCGCGCCTACGCCGGTATACCCGCTCACGCGACGCTCCTTACGCCACGCCCACGCAGAGGACATGCGTGTTTAATGTATTATTGCTGGGATTTGGTGTTCCTCTATAGCTGCTGGTGTTCAGCAGTGTGCAGGTGTATTATACATTGGTATTCTGTAGTGCTGCAACAATTATTAGATTAAGTCGATTAAAATCGACGATGGAAAACATTGTCCGGCCGCCTGTTCGCGGCTCCATACCCGAGTTACACTATGCACGTCGCGGACGCCATGCCCACCGCGCACACGACGCGTACCCGGCCACGCACAAGCCGGACACACGCCCACAGAGCACACCGCCGCCGCTGCAGCGACTTACAAGGGTTCAGAAACAGGTAAGGGGGACCTGTTCTAATGTTTCCTGTTAAAAAAAAAAAGCGGCACACTGTAGAACACCAGCAGCTATAGAGGAACAACAAATTCCAGCAATAATATATTAACCAGCCTGTATAATGTATTATTGCTGGGATTTGTTGTTCCTCTAAAGCTGGTGGTATTCTCCATCGCGCTGTATAATGTATTATTGCTGGGATTTGTAGTTCCTCTATAACTGGTCAGTGGTATTCTGCATTGCGCTGTATAATCATTATACAGCACAATGGAGAATAACACCAGCTATAGAGGACTACAAATCCCAGCAATAATACATTATATACAGCGCAATGCAGAATAACCCCAGCTACAGAGGACTACAAATCCCAGCAATAGTACATTATAGTATAATGTACTATTGCTACATTCCTCTATAGCTGCTGGTGTTCTGCATTGCGCCGCTGTATAATGTACTATATTGCACACCACACTCTTTTTTTTTTACTTCTACCGCGCCAAGCTTGCTCCCGTGATGGACTACAATCTCAATAGAAACTAGTAGTCCATCACTGGAGCCTTTTTTGTTTTTTTTATCCGATTAATCGAACTTAATAATCGGCTAACTAATCGATTATTAAAATAATCTTTAGCTGCAGCCCTACTTTTAATGAATAAAGGGGCGCCAACAAGGCCACACACTGCTCAGATTTCAGCCCAGTCCTGCTAGCTTGGCCAAAATTCGAGCAGCATGTGGCCAGCTTTAGCTCCCTGGCTGTCATACTGAGGCTTTGGCTTCACAGCTCTCTCATTGACGCAGAACGAGTTTAGAGAGACAGAGGTCAGATACTTGTTTACAATATGCTTGTTCCAGATCTGTGCCTAAAAAGTGACAGACAGGCAACCAGTATCTTCAGAAGAGGGCCAGTGAGGACAGCCGCTGTACTTCATGACAAGTGCACTGAAAGATGCCATGCTGATCGTGGTTGGTTACCTGAGGCCTTGCTGTGGTTGAAGTAAATTAACTATGCCAGTCCAGTCCATGGCTTGTTTTTCTTCACAGTCCAAATCTGCCATATATAAAACTAGTTTGCAGTGTGATAATTATATACGCAGTATTTACAGTATGTGTGTTCAAGGTCTCTTCGCATCCATTGTGTCCGGGTAAAATTCTTCAGCTACAGAAGGCACAGCTCTGTCTAAAGAATCATCTGCTATCGGAAAATGAGAAAATCAGCTGGGCTTGTTCTTATGCAGCACACAGCTGGGGAACAGTCATCAAAAGCTGGTGTGACTTGCTACACAGTTACAGTGTACAGTCTGAGTGATTACTGGGGAGGAGACAGAGGACATGCTTCCTCCTGCCAGCAGCGGACTAATGCTATAACGTGATATTACAGTCAAAATGTTATGCTGCTATTTCAAATACTGATACTATTTCATATCACTTGCAATGGATGCTGCTTCTTGAAGTGTCAAAGTTAGCTGGTCCCCTGAGCACTGGCCCTGATATCCTGTTTTTGGACGGCTCCTTTCCCTTGCAGGGTCCTATGGAGCCACCCTTATGCCTACTAGAAAGCTGTGTTTCTCCATAAACACATAGGCGCAGAAGAACCAGTAACTGATCTACTTGCTCCTTCCTTCTCCAAGCTAGTAGATGGACGGCTGCTGGAGACTGCTCTGTCTCTTGTGATCTTGTATTGGACGGGAAGTTCAGGGGAACTGAGCTGAGAGAGTTGGAGCTGTTTGGAAACAGGATGACTGCAAGTGGTTGGGCCAAATGAAAAGAAACACTTTTCTGAACAATGTCTATTTGTTTGATCTGGATTCATTGTTTGAAAAATAGTTTGAGAGTTTATTACTACTTTGACTAACTCAATCTAGGCAAGGTCCCTGCCAGCGTAAGGTCTGCTTTTAATGATGGCGTATCATGTCAGGAATGTGTTCATGTATGAGCAGTCCACTTTAAGAGTTGAAACTTGTAGTTCTGCAACTGTTGTAGTGTCACACCATTGCGAGCAAGTTGGCACAGGAAATGTCCTCTTATTAACCCTATAAAGTAAAACAATACTAGTATATACATTATTATATCTCTTCTGTTTTGCAGCCCTTGGAGGATCGTGGATGATTGTGGTGGGGCGTTTACTATGGGCCTCATCGGTGGAGGAGTTTTCCAGGCAGTTAAGGGTTTTAGGAATGCCCCTGTGGTATGTAGTTTTATGGTCCATATTATCAGTGATGTTTATGAAATTTGGGAATGGGTGAAGATCAATAGATCAGCATGTCAGCATGTTCTTTGCTTGTCAGGGATTCGGTCATCGGTTCCGGGGCAGTGTTAACGCTGTGAAGGTTCGCGCTCCTCAGATCGGAGGTGAGATCCATTATTTGTGTAAAACCTAAACAATGAGCCATATATATTGTAGACTGTTAGGCCTCATTCACCTGGGCATGCAATTATAAGCATTTATATTTGTTTATAGGACATTTCTAAATACATCAATGTACGTAATGATTTTAAATGCTATAAATGGGGTTTATGTACATACAAATGTGCATAGCTATTCATACAGTGAGACTGCAGGGACATTTGTTCTGTGCAAGTTAACCAATTGTTGTGAGAATGGGGCAACACTGACAGAGTTATTCACAAAGCTGCCGAAGGCAGCCGAGTGAAGAACCCACCCGAAGTGAAATGAGCCCAACGCTGTTCGGCTTTTCACTTCAGGCTTGTACGGCTCACTTGCTGCCGTTTGCCACTTCACATAGGGGCCGAACGGTAGTGAGTAAATAGCCGAATGCCGCCGAGCGGCATACGGCTTGGCTATTCTGCTCGGTACCTCCGTGGGAAAATCAATGAAAACAATAGGAAATCAATGACAAAAGAAGAAAAAAAAATGTATAAATAATAAATTTAAAAAAGTGACAGCTAGCTCCCACCAGCTGTTTCCTATTGGCCGTCCCGGCTAGTCTTCTAGCAGGTCCCAGCCAATGAATAATGACTGGGCGGAGCTGGCTGTGACGCCACGGCTGGCTCCGCCCAGTTGTCATTGTTTAATGACAGTTCAGCGTTCCCTGGTCATTTGGGGGCACTGATCTGTCATTACAACTGGGCGCCCAGCTGTCATTTGTGAGGCCTTCGGCCGGCCGTTTGCCCCGATTCGGGTGTCACTTCGGCTGAGCCGCTCGGCCACCTTCGGGAGCTGTACGGGCTATAGTGAATAGCCCGTACAGCAGCCCTTCGGTTCGACTAAACTGAAGGGCAGAGGGGGCCGAAGAGAGCCAAAGAATCAGCTGGAGCTATGGCTGATCCTTCGTATTCCTTTGTGAATAACTCCCTGAATGTTCTTAGGCTTTTATCTCTTCTGGTTGAATGTTCTGCAAATATTATTGGCAGTAATGAATCTGGATAATACCACATTGTAGCCACTAGATGGCTCTGAGGATCATAGAAAATTAAATACATCATAGTAACATGAGATACAATGCTAGAGAACACTGGATGGAATTAGCTGGTAAATGTAACAATTGCTACTAGCACATATGCAGTTCTCTGATTCCCTACACCAAGTCACTTTGAGTGCCTGCACCAACCTGTCAAATCATCAATGGCAATCTAAAGTCCTCAGACCTGTCCTTCGGCTTGCCAAAACCTTACTTTTCATGCATTTTTTCACAAGAACATTGTCATTCTGATATTTTGGCTTTGAGTTGCTGACCCAGAGTGAGTAATCCGATCGGGAGAACCGACTTCACTGGCTGCATAGTTGATCCAGGGTAAACTGTGCGGACGGTATTGAAACCAAAATCATGTTCCCTGGCAGCTAGCATAAGAGGGTAGGTTTAGGAAGCTCTGGTCTACAGGGGTGCTGTATTTCAGTAACAGATGTCTGGAGAAGTTAGCTATTACAGTGTATCAACCACACAGAGCAACACAAGAGTAGGAACAAACGTTCAAACTTGTTCATATGTCCTTGACTGTTGGAGGTGCTAGATAAAGGTGCTGAACAAAGGATGATTTGAGGTGATCCAGCGTCTTCCCAACTTTCTCTTACCTGGCAGCAATACTGGCGCTCCCCTGCTTTAAAATACAGGATTTTTTCCTTCTACAGAACAGATTGCATCTTTTAAAACCAATTTGCAGTAAAGGGAAAATCTAGCTGCACTCTGTTCCCGGGGTCCGCCCTCTCTGACATGTTTCACCCAGTGGTGTCACTAGGGGTGACGCTATTGGAGGGGGTGGCACCAAAATGACTGGCAGTCATTTTGGTGTCCCCCTCTCTGAGAAGTCGGCCATGGACAAAGAGCCAGACAGCTGCACGAAAGAGGAGGGACCCGGCGTCATACCTTATCCCGCCTGGTGAATGTCACCTCCTCTCTCTGCCGGGATCCATCAGCAAGATGGCCGCTGGCAGGTAACCGCGCGTGACCTCATCACGCACATGCGCAATGACGTCATGGCGGGTTGTTACCCGGTGGCTGCTCCGGGTGACACCAGGTCTTGGGATGCCCCTCGTTTCTCTCAATCCTGGACTTCGTCACAGACTATGACTAATAATAATAACTGATTGGATGAAACATGTTAGAGGGGACAGATATCAGACAGGACTCATTGTCATTGATGAGCATTCAATAAACTGATTCAGGGTGGAACAGAGTGCAGCCAGATTTTTCCTTTAATATATACTTGTCTTGTTGGTGCGAGGGCACACTCCTGCTTGCAAGTACCCGGCTGTCTTAACCCTGCTAAAGCCGCGGAGGAACGGCGCTTGATTTCTATACTTTGGTGTAACACAATGCAATTATTATATGATATATAGTATTCAGTGAAGTGATTCTTCATAAAACTTCTTATTCACGTAATTTTCTTCTAACTAGCTCTCTGTGTTCTCTAACAGGCAGCTTTGCGGTATGGGGTGGTCTGTTTTCCACCATTGATTGCAGCTTAGTGAGGATAAGAGGAAAGGAGGACCCATGGAACTCCATCACCAGTGGAGCACTTACAGGAGCCATACTGGCCTCTCGAAGTAAGAAAACCAAACACAGGAGACATTTGTAAAACTTGTATTGGACAGAATGCAAACAAAAGTAATAAATGCACATAAGTTAGTCCTGCTGTTCTTCCTTTTTTTTTTTGTGTGTGTCTGTGACCCCATTGGGGGACATTCTTCCTCACTCCTTTACCTGTGGTGACTATACAAGAAATAGGCTTGCAAGCATCACCAGGACAGGAAGGCATGGACAGCAATATGAATATTGTCAAACATTCGAATCCTTCCCTGTGTCTTTAGTTTTTGTCCCTGTTGGAGAGATTTCCCATGATTCTCTGTTCCAACACACTCACAGCAGTAAAAATCTGATACTCTAACCGTTCTGCTTTCTATCCAAAAATAAATCAAAGGTTTAGGCCAGAGTTGGGCTTTGAATAATATAAACTCATTATAACCCTATGGGCCTAGTTATCAAGGATCGTTTGCCCCTTATTTTGCTATACCTAGCCTCTTGAGCGGAAAATCAGACTTGGAGGTCACCAGAGGTCTGTACATTGCTTCACTGGGAGCTGCCTGACCTCACACAAGTCTCTGAGAGAGCACAACAGCGTTAAATACCAGACCTTACAGCTAGGAGAAATGATTTAAAAAATACAGTTTACAGCTTTCCATAAAAGTTTACCTGCAAAACTGGGTAAAGTGTGGCTGTTTGTGACCTTTTATAGGTCTCCTAAGAGATATATACTGTATATAATGTTTATTTATTTATTTTAGGTGGCCCATTGGCAATGGTGGGCTCGGCCCTAATGGGAGGCATTTTGTTGGCTCTTATTGAAGGTGTTGGGATCCTCCTCACTCGCTACACGGCAGCGCAGTTTCAAAACCGTGAGTATACTACAAGTACATGAAACAGTGTACAGTGCAGTATAGGAATCCTATACACGGGGAAAACAAAACATTATTTCTAACTGTGTGGGTGGGGTAAATTTCCCCCGTCAGGGATTTTGTATGCTGCGGTCAGAATACCTGAACAATGGCTGCCAGTTACTGCTTGACTGCAAATGTTTGGCCTGGCTCCAATGTAGTTTAGGAACATGTAGCAGATTGCTGTGCAAGCACTTGTAAGTCTCGGATTTGTTTCTAGTTTTTTAAAAAGAGCCAAAACTGCCTTTCTGTATATGCTGTTAAAATGGGGAAACATTTGATACCCTCACAAGGTCCTCTCAGCAGTCTGGGACCCTGGCAGGGAGGTTTCCACCTTACTCCTAGCAAAGCACTGACAGACCATACTTGGCTTTTCAGCAAAGCTACTGCAGTCACTCGGTCAAGTAAGTTCCTTTACACTCCTGGGAAGAATCCATTAGATAGCAGATGATGCACATGTTTTCTAAACCCTCTATTGGATTCTCTATAGGGATATATGGGAAAACTTACTGTCTGGTGACACAAGTAACTTAACTGAAAAGCCAGTCTAGGGCTGCCATGGCTGTACAGACTGTAATGTGGTTCTCTATCTATCTATCTATCTATCTATCTATCTATCTATCTATCTATCTATCTATCTATCGGAGACTGTACAAGCAAGTGAGGCGCATGGTCAACTTTGGATATTTCCCAACCACAACATGATTTAAGGTTGTATCTAAACATTCCATTCAATTTATTAGGCATGTCCTCACATTACACAGCTGTTGGTAACTCGGAAGCTCACCATGCATGTCACAATCTCCTTTAAGGTGCCCACACACTGCACGATTCTCGTACGATAATCGCGGGAAATCCCGCGATCGTACGAGAATCGTGCAGTGTATGGAAGGCGTGCAACCGTTTCTACTGTACGGTCGCACGTCTTCCGTCGAACCAGCATACTAGAAAACCCGCCGGGAATCGTACGATTCTCGGCGAGTTAGTTGGCTGCTGGTTCGACAACTGCCAAACGGGCCGGTGTGCGCACGCGCACACTGCCCGTTTGCAGTCATCGTAAGCCCGCCCCTCATTACAGTCATTGTAAGCCCGCCCCTCAGGGGAGCGGGCTTGCGATGATCGAGAGTGCGTTCTGCCTGTCCAAGATGAGCAGATCGTACGTTTTTTTAAAGTACTTTACAACCATCGCAAGACTAAGGTCTTGCGATGGTTGTACAGTGTATGGCCACCTTTAGATATACCAAAGCTATATTTAAGGGTCTACCTTTAACATCTAATTTGTGTCCAGTCAGAAAGCCCCTGACTACATGGTTTTTGGTAGATCTAAAGGAGATTGTACAATCAGAATGTAATTTGTGTGGTGAGTTATGTAATGTTGGAGCCTACCTGATTGGATGTAAGTTGAATAGAACATTGATTGCAACCTTTCAAACTGTTCTTGGTAAACTGATAGGGAACTGTACAGTAATCGTACAATCAGATGGTAACATGTATGACAAACTTTAGAAACCGAAATGGTTTCCAAATCACATTATCAAAGCTGCTACTGAAGTAACATGAAATGTGACATTGGGAAGAGGTAAAAAAAAAACAAAAACTTATTTATATTCCAGCTGTGATTCCAAATGTAATTTCCCCCATTAAGTGAACATACACTTTAGCCTTGATGGTTTTTCCCTGGCGTGTGTTTTTCCTAATAGATTTGTATTATTGTATTTGTCACACAAACATCCTGCATGTGAAATATGGTGCTTTTCCCTTCACGTGTCACTCTCTGTGTTCTGCAGCCAACCCCTTTGGAGAGGAGCCAGGCAATGTACCACACTGACAGTGACAGCATGTACAGTGCCTGCTGAAGCTGTTACCGCGGCACTTCACCATCCCTGCTGCTGGCGGAAGTATGGAGTATGGAGAGGAGTATGGAGAGTGTGCTCACCAAATGTTCCTGTTCTTTAGAAATAAACAATCTTCCTAGAAAAACTATGCTCTGCGCAGTGTTCTGCTGGAAGCTGTGAATACACAAACACGCTTATCCACAAAGTTGGCTAAAGCCTGACTTCACTTTACGGAGATCGGTTTAATGAAATATTAATTCTGACTGGCTGCTATCCGTTAATACAATCCAACTTCAGCCAAGTGGGTTTTTTTTTTGTTTTCGTTGAAGTAGAAAAGGGTTTAGCTTCTGTCATCTTTCAATGTTTAATTTCAGGGAAATCTCAATTGACTTCCTGTCCTGGTGACCAAACAGGAAGTTACCAGATCTGCAAAGTGGGGCAAAAACGGCAATTTGCTCTAATTTATTTAAAAAAAAATATTACTCTGTGCCCCTATTGAAGAGGTTTTGGTTACTTTCTGTCTTGCTGACCACATACGAGATATCTTCAATGGCTGCAGAAACAAAAAATAAAAATGTGGCAGAGGTTCTCACCCTATTTTCTCCATCTAAAGCTAATTAAAAAAAAATGTTTTGGCTGGAGTTGTGCTTTAAAGCTAGGCAGCACTTTCATTAAAATATAATTAATCCCTCCTATTTTAATTAATAGTTTTTGTATTGCATGCCTCCATTAGCTAAATCATTTTACAAGCAAAATACACAGATGACCTACATATATGTGAAGTGTCTTACCTGTCAAGGGATTTGAGTTTCTCCTCAAATCCTGAGGATTATACAGCTCTGGCACACAGGCCAGTGCAGGAGACCTGCTTTTCTTCTGCTGCAGTTAAATAACACTTACAGGTCATGTACCTTCCCCAGCCTGTGACTTGACAGTGAAAAAAAGATGCTCTTTGTACTGCAGTGAAGAGTGCGAGTGCGACAATTTGGTATTGTGGTTGGAGGTAAGTAGATAGATTTAATAATTGCCCATCCCCCATGTAAAATCTCTGGTCCCACAGCTTTCTCACCAGTGCTCTTAGCCTTAAACACACTGGATGTCTGAGCTTTACCTAGTAAAGAAGATGGGCGAGTAGGTCCTGAAAGTACTTTGAAGTAGTGCAATAAAATGATGTATTGATCACACTGTGTTCACATTCACTTCCATTCCTTCGATCCGAACATAAGAGTCTAAAAATGTGTCCAGATTGGTCAGCACATGTCATTTAAAGTCGAAGTCCAGACAAAAAGCTCAGTTCACTCTTGGGAACATTGTTGTGCTTTTACTTCCTGTCACCAAGCTTCCAGTGTCAGACTGACAGTGTTGTATTGTGTAGTAGACCCTCCCTCACCCATTCTAAGGGAGCTCCTATACAAACCGGTACTCTGAAATATATTTTTAATACATAACTGGGTTAAATTAAATAATTAATATCTGCATTCTGTCCCCGTGTGCAATACTGTTAACTGAGCACCCTGCAATCTACTTCTCTTCCACCCTATCCCCTGAAAGTGTACATATTGCCAAAAACTTTTTTTGTTTTGGATACAGCAGGGAATTGCTGTTTGGGGATATTTCCCTTCACTTTCTTTCCTAGAGGCGCAACAGGATATGAGATGAAATCTCCCCAAACTGAGGAAAACGTCAAACTGAGGAAAACGTCAATCTTAGATAGTTGTCATCAGAACATTTGTCTCCGCTGGATTATTTACCCTAAATACTTGCCACTCTAAAATGCTGGATTTCCTCTCATTTTATGCCTCGATGACGGTGGTCACCAAGACTAATAGTGAGTGGAATCTCCCCAGAGAGGACATAGGCATCATTAAAAACCTTATTAATATGGGATAAAAAAATAGGTGTAACCATATATGTAAAGAGAGTAGTACAAAACTTGATTTCTTATTACAAAAGATATTCTTCTACTAGTAGCCAAGAAAAGAAAAAGGCCACTATGAATTAAAAAGAAAAAAAAGCCACAACTGAGAGACCTTGTTATATTGATAATAATCCACAATCCACATATACCTGCATGTAGAATGTTGCATCAACAATATCTCTTATATACACTATATTGCCAAAAGTATTGGGACACCCCTTCAAATCATTGGATTCAGGTGTTCCGTGAAATTTCCTTGCTACTAAATATTCCACGGTCACCTGTTAGTGGTATTATAACAAAGTGGAAGCAACTGGAAACAACAGCAACTCAGCCACGAAGAGGTAAGCCACGTAAAATAAAGCGGGGTCAGCACATGCTGAAGCGCACAGTGCGCAGAAGTCACCAACTGTCTGCAGAGTCAATAGCTACAGACCTCCAAACTTTGTGTGCAGGCCCGGATTTCCCACAAGGCCATCGAGGCCCGGCCTCGGGGCGGCAGAGGGGGTCGGCAGCGGTGACCTTGTGGGGAAGTTGCGGGTGCCAGTGTAAGGTGTCCCGGCGGCGGACCGTAGTGTGCGGGCCGCAACTCCTCCCCCCAGCTGTCAGATACTTCCTCCGACGTCGTGTTAATGTGGATTGACGCCGGAGGAAGTAGTCGTCTACCTTGCTATCACACAGGGGCTTGTTATCTCCTGTGTGATAGCAATAAAATTAGGTGGGGGAAAAAATGACATTGATTTAAGAAAAAAAAAATTAAATAAAAAAATAAAAAGGTGATTAAAAAGTAAAAAATAAGAAAATAATTCTAAAAAATAAACAATAATAAGATAAAAAGTAAATTATAAAAAAGTAAAAAGATAAAAAATAAAATTGATTAAAATTTTTTTTAAAAAAAGAAATAATTGAATAAAAAGTGATAAAAAAACAGTTAAAAAAAATGTAAACTAGCCCCGCCCCAAGGCCAGGTTCCAAAATACGCCCGCCCGCCCTGCCATCTGGTTGCCATTCTCAATTGATGGGGAGAGGAGAGGGGGGGTTGGCGGCGCGGGGCGTATTGTGGAACCCGGCCTTTTGGCGGCAGGGAGAGTAAATCCGGCCCTGTTCGTGTGGCCTTCAGATTGGCACAGCAATAGTGCATAGAGAGCTTCATGGAATGGGTTTCCATGGCCGAGCAGCTGCATCCAGGCCTTACATCACCAAGTGCAATGCGAAGCGTTGGATGCAGTGGTGTAAAGCACATCGCGACTGGACTCTAGAGAAGTGGAGACGTGTTCTCTGGAGTGACGAATCACACTTCTCTGTCTGGCAATCCGATGGACGTGTCTGGGTTTGGCGGTTGCCAGGAGAACGGTACTTGCCTGACTGCATTGTGCCAGTGTAAAGTTTGGTGGAGGGGGTATTATGGTGTGGGGTTGTTTTTCAGGGGTTGGGGTTTGTCCCATTAGTTCCAGTGAAGGGAACTCTTAAGGCAGGGGCACCCACTATTTTCCGTCTGGAGATCTACTTTTCAAATGACGAGCTCATTGAGATCTACCAACGAAAAAACACCTGCATTCAGGGGCGGGGCGGTGCATTGAAGTCAATGGCACCGCAGCCAGGCTCCACAGGCAGGCCCCTCGCCCACAGTGCGATCGCCTGCATTAGTGCCTGTGTTCCAGTCCAGTGCGATCCGCAAAAATGCTGCGAGCACTATTTTTGCAGATCGCACTGGACCGGAATGCAGGCACTAATGTGCCTGCGTTCCGAGTGCGGGCGATCGCAATGTGGGCGATGCCATTGACTTCAATACAGCTCCACACCCCCTCCCGCACCTGAACGCAGGGAGTCGGCCGGCTTACATTCCAGTGCGCCCTACAGGTCCCGGCGTCCTGTCCTCCCGTGGTGCTCGTGTGGCCGACGTTGCACATGGGGTGTCCTGCACCTTTCCATCTGCAGCGTCTGACACATTCAGCCGGCAGCCGCACGAGCACCACGGGAGCATAGCCGTAGCCAGCTCCTTTTGCGCCTGAGGCAAGGAAAAAAAACAAAGTTTTTTAAATTTATTTTTTACTATTTTTTATTTTATTTTCATTATGTATTTTTATTTATTTAAAATTTTCATTATTTTTTTTTTTACTCTTGGGGGGGCTTCGGGGAAATATTAGGGGTCTAAAAAGCCCCCTGATATTTCCCTTTTAAAATAGAAAAAGAAATTGAGGACACAAAGTCCTCAATCTCTTTTTCTGCAGCCTCTATTCTAAATGAATGGAAAGCACAGAGGCTTCCCATTCATTAAGAAAATATTTTACTATCAAGCTGTTTCTGAATGGGGAGGAGCCTCTGTACAGAGTGCTTCTCCCCATTGAGAAACTTATGAATGAACAGGAGGTGATGTAAATCACCTCCTGTTCATTCATTTATAACTGGGGACACATAGTACTATGTGTCCCCAGTTATTTACAAACACGAGTGATCAGCCGATCGCTCCAGTGTTTGTCCCACACAGAGGATTGGTACATACTAGTGACATGTACCGATCCTCTGCCGCTCATCCACACACAGGGGGGCTGCCACTTCTCTGGATCCCCCTGCTCCCCCTTATACTACGAGCCGCGCGGGGGGCGTTCTATATTTGTGATAGAACGGACGAGCAGTGAGGGCAGAGAGAGGCGCCGGCTGTCAGATCCTGGCCGAGCGTCTCTCTCTCTCCTCACTGCTCTGCATTATAGTGACAGCGGCTCCGTCCTCCCCCGCCGCCGGTTCCTTCACGTCTTCTCGGATCCCCGCTGGGGAGAGCAGTGGGGATCCAGAGAAGCGGCGGGAGGAGAGGACATGGCGATCTACCAGTGATCGCTACGCGATCGACTTGTAGATCGCGATCGACCTTGTGGGCACCCCTGTCTTAAGGCATCAGCATACCAAGACATTTTGGACAATTTCATGCTCCCAACTTTGTGGCAACAGTTTGGGGATGGCCCCTTCCCTTTCCAATATGACTGCGCATCAGTGCACAAAGCAAGCTCCATAAAGACATGGATGAGCAAGTTTGGGGTGGAGGAACTTGACTGGCGTGCACAGAGTCCTGACCTCAACCCGATAGAACACCTTGGGGATGAATTAGAGCGGAGACTGTGAGCCCGGCCTTCACGTCCAACATCAGTACCTGACCTCACAAATGCGCTTCTGGAAGAATGGTCAAACATTCCCATAGACACACTCCTAAGCCTTGTGGACGCCTTCCCAGA